ATCAGTGGGCTGGAACAGATTGGGCACACCTGGCTGGGGTCAGCACAGGCCCAAGGTGGGGACATGTGGGGTCAGAATGACCTTCCCAGAGATGATAGCCAAGGACAACTCCCCATCTTAAGTCAATAAAATTTCTGCTGCCTTCCGGCCCGAGCTGCACACCTTTCCTGAAATGAGACTCAAAGCATTATAAACCCATTGCTGTCGAGGCGATTCTGACTCAGAGCGACCCTATAGGACAGAGTAGACCTGCCCCGTAGGGTTTCCAAGGCTGTAATCTTTATGGAAGCAGACTGTCACATCTCCCGTGGAGTGGCTGGTAGGTTCCAACCATTGATCTTTTGGTTAGTAGCCAAGAGCTTAACAACTGCGCCACCAGGGCTCCTTCAAAGCATCCTAGATACCAAAGTGTGCCATCACACTTACTGCCCTCTGCCTCCCGCTCTGGCTCCCTCGCATCCTGCTGGAAGGACACACGGAGGTTCTTAGCGTTTCTCTTGGATGAGGTGCAGGTTTATTTTCATCCTGAGTCTGGCTTAGCTAGGGGAGTCAGAGCGAAGCAAGAGGATGTTTTCCTCCCCTACTTTGACCAGGGGAAACATTTCCCAAAAAAAACTCAAAGCACTTATCTGTTTTCATCTTCCTCAGCAAGGCATCCTGGCACCAGGCACATAAGAGAACGGGAACTCAGGCCAGCACGAGAGATGGAAGAGACAGAATAACAGGCAAGGTTTCTGCCACCCACGTTAAGGTCCAACCCGCCATGGCTCATTCTGAGTCCCTTTATGCCTTCTCAGCTCACGATGCTTTTAGCATGCCCTCTCTCTACCAAATATGTAGTCCCTGGGAAACCCTAGTGGCATAGTGGTTAAGAGTTCGGCTGCTAACCAAAAGGTTGGCAGTTCAAATCCACCAGGTGCTTCTTGGAAACTCTATGGGGCAGTTCTACTCTGTCCTATAGGGTCGCTATGAGTTGGAGTTGACTCGATGGCAATGGGTTTGGGTTTGGGTTTTGGTGGGTGGCATAAAGGGTTCAGCACTCTACTACTAGCTGAAAGGTTGGTGGTTGGAACCCACTCAGAGATGACTCAGAAGACAGGCCCAGATCTGCCATTTTGATGGTCACAGCCATTGAAAACCCTATGGAACAGTTCTACTCTGCACACATGGGGTCACCATGAACCAAAATCGACTCGTCCGTAACTAACAACTCTACCAAGTACATATTGCTGTTGTTGTTGCTGGCCATCATGGAGTCAGCCCCTGACTCATGGTGACCCCGTGCACCGATGGAACAAAACACTGCCTGGCCCTGCACCATCTCCGTGATTGGTTGCAGATCAGATTTTGTAATCCATAGGGTTTTCATTCACTGATTTTTCGGAACTAGATTGCCAAGTCTTTCTTCCTAGACCATCCTCGTCTGGAAGCTCCGCTGAAATCTGTTTAGCATCATAGCAACATGCAAGCCTCTACTGACAGACGGGAGGTGGCTGCACTTGACGTACATTTTAGCAAAGCTCAAAAGGTAAGAAAAAAGAAAGATGGTCGAACACAGAAAAGAATTGGCCACCGTGGGGTGTTTTGTTGCTGTCGTTGTTAGCTGTTGGCCGAGTTGACCCCGACTCATGGCCGCCCCATGCACAATGGGATCGGAACTTTGTGATCCATAAACCAAAAAAACCTAAACCCATTGCCGTCAAGTCAATTCTGGTTAATAGCAATCCTATAGGCCAGAGTAGAACTGCCCCATAGGGTTTCTAAGGAATGACTGGTGGATTCGAACTGCCAACCTTTTGGTTAGCCAAGCTGTTAACCACTGTGCCACCAGGGTGTCCAAAAAGAGGTGGTGGAGAGTGAATTTCTAGTCTCAAACTCCTCCCTGCCATGGTTACGAGGGAGCACTCACACTTTACTAGGTAAATGCAAAAGGCATAAGGGCCATGCTCTTAGCTCCCTGGGAGAGGATGCTCTGCCCTCTGGCTTCTGTAGGGAAAGATGCAAAGAAAGGCAACATCAGGATCTGTTCATGAGCAACTCTATTCCAACAAACACTCTGCTCTTAGAAAGGGAAGGGGAGGAGGATATGAATATCGGTGCAAGAGGTCAGAGAAGCGAGTATCAGCTGGAAGACAGCTCCCAAGATGGTGGGAAATGAAGGCCCTAATTGCATTCCTCCATTGGCCGTGACCTTGGGTCACCACACACCAGCAATTATTTACTCTGGCGAAGTGATTAGGGAATTGGGAGCAAGGAATAGAAGTGTGTTGGGGTAGAGGCACATGGGGGTAGAGAAGATGAGGACTATGATGGGAACGATGCTCCTTCCTCACCTGCCTCTTCCTAATTGGGGTCACTGCAGGCATCCTTCAGTGGCTGTGCCCTGAGCTCTACTTTTAGGTCGTGTGGGAGTATCTGGAGACCCAAATATGAAAACAGAAAAAAAGAGAGAGAGAAAAGGAGAAAATGGAGGAGAGAAGAAGCAGTCAAAGAAACAGTTGCCCACTAACAGATGGAAATCCTATGCACATCAGGAAGAAGATGAAGAAGTTTCAACAAACCTACCTTCCCCCCGGACTGGGGCAGAGAAATCAGATCGGACAACAGCAAAGACAGGACTGGAGACAAAGTGGTGCAAGACCTAAATAGACAGTGGTTCTCAGAGCGTGGTCTGGGACCAGCAGCACCAGCCCCCTGGAACTTGTTGGAAAGGCAACCGTTCAGACCACACCCTAAATCTGCTGAGTCAGAAACTCTGGGGGTGGGACCCAGCAATCTGTGTCTTAACAGGCCCTCCAGGTAATTCTGTAATTCTGATGCATTCAAGTTTGAGCACTGTGACTCCAGGGAAGGAGGCCCTGGGTGGTGCAAACAGTTAACGTGCTCAGCTACTAGCCGAAAGGTTGGAGGTTTGAGTCCACCCAGAGGCACCTGGAAGAAAGGCCTGGCAAGCTACTTCTGGAAAAAAAATCAACCATTGAAAACGCCATGGAGCACAGTTCTACTCTGACACACGTGGGGTCATCATGAATCAGGGTCCCTTGAGGACAACTGAGTGGCCCTAGGGAAAAGGGACCCATAAATGGAGTACTTTCTGTGACGATGGGGGTTTTTTTTTCAAACTTTGTTTTCAAAGTAACCCAAACTCTAGTCTGGCAGCAGTTTCTCTGCCAAGCCCATCCACTCCCACACCATGATGAGTTTCTTCCAAACTCGGTTTTCAAAGTTCCTTTGGAGGTGAGGCTTTTCATCACCTTCAATGAATATATAACCATGTTGCCGCAGAGATCTTGGTCTTTGACCCACCAGCAGCAGGCATGACACTTGAGTGTGTTTTCCTGAAAAAGGAGAAGCGGGTTTGCTCCGAGTTCTCCGTGCAGCCTTGTCCCAGAGCCCTGCGTCATAGCAGACGTTTGCCAAGTAGCCCATGGGGAGTGGGGTCTGTCACCACACGTCCCATAGACGCGGGAATGGGAGCAGCATCGATACTGCAATCAAAAGTAAAGGAAGCAACTTTGGAGCACCTACTGTGTGCAGGCACTGTCCGAGGCATTTGGTACAGGCTATCTCACGTAATCGTCATAGCAGCCCCATGGTACAGATAAGAAAACATGCTCAGAGACGTGAAGGAACTGATGAAGGCCACACAACTATTACATCTCAAGCCAAAGTTCCTGTTCTTGCCACTATATTGGTCAAGTTGCCTTCTCCTCACCCTCTAAATGTTAAAAGAATTATCAAAATCCTCCTCCATTTTCTTTGAGCTACAGAACCAAAAGCCATCTCATCACCCATGCAGGAAAAAGAGCCCAGGTTCTGAGTGGGTCACTCCCAGGCTCTAACCAGAAGCAGGCTGGGAAAAGCCCTCCAGAGAGGTGAAAGATGGGGCGTAGAGAAAGGACATGCTCCAGCCGCATGCTCTCCACCTTCCCAGGTTCCTGCAGCAGCTTTGCAGGAACCTACCTGCAGTGAGGTTCTGCACCTCCTTGCCCTGGGCTGGAATGGCTGGATCTCAGGCAGTTCCCTGAGGCAGCTCCACGAAGCAGCTTTGTCCACCTCCAGGCCTCCTGCTGGCCTCCACCTCACCTGGGCTCTGTCTGTTCACTCCGGACAGGTATCAGCACAGCTGCTCTGGCCAGTGCTTCCTGGCAGGTGCCTGAGGAGAGCACGGAGCCCTACAGCCTGGGAAGGAGAACTAGAGACAGGCCAACTGCATTTACAGAGAACAGACGGTTTTACCTTCAGGGAAGGGGGAAGGGGCACTGCATCGGGTTCTCAGGGTGGTATGAAGGGAGCCGGAGCAGACAGGTAGCCCTGAGTGGCAATGCAGAACAGGAAGGGAGAAGACAGGAAGAGCCATCACGGAAAAATGTGCCCACATACCCACACACACAGCGGGGGTTCATGCATTTACACACGCATACATACACATGCACACGTGCAGATGCACACACGCACGCACAGATAAGTGCTTGCATTTACACTGGGATACACACACACACACACACATACACACAGAGGGCTGCTTCCGTTTATACTTAGATACACACCAAATCCCAACGCACACATGCACATACACGCACACACACACACGCTGATGCCCACATGTACACACACAAAGAGAAGGGTGCTTGTGTTTACACTTGGATACACACCAAATCCCAATGTGTGCACACACAAAGGGGCGCGCGCACACACAGGCACGCACACGCACACCCTGGAGTAGCACACACCGAGCACAGTCTGTCTTCTGTTGGGAACACCCACGGTGTGCTTGTGGAGTGAAAGTGTTCTTGGAGAATCCCACTTTGCGTTCTCCACACTTTCTCTCTTTCTGGGCTTCAAAACTGTGCATCTAGCATGCAGCTGTTAAGAGAGTTATACAATCAGAGAAACCTGCCAGAACATTCCATGTGGCCCATGAGAGGAGAGGGGGTGCGGCCCAGGTATTCCGCAGCCAGTTTGGGGTCGTGAGTGCCTGGCTGGGTGAGCTGACTTACGGCCTGGAGCTCTCAGCTTCCCTGCTCAGGCCGGTCTATCACCGCTCATCCTCTCCCACCTCAGGAGACCTCTGGGACAAATGGTGTGGGGGGAGGTGCAAAGTTACCCATAGACTGGAGGTGAGGCCAGCCTCCAACAGTGAGTCTTTGTCTGCATGGACAGGACACGCCTCCCTCTCCTACCTCCGGTCCTGATGGGCAGGAGGGAGGTGAGGCCAATTCCATGGATTTATTATAGAAATGTTTGCTAGTTTGCTTCTTTGTGCTCTTTTTAAAGGGCCAATAGCTCTCTCTGAAGTCTCCTCTCTACCAATTTTCCCGCAAGAGGCTGGAGGTGCTGCACAGAGCCCAGACAACCAGAAGGCTAATCACCAGGCCTGGGCAGTGAAGGGATTCAAGTCAGTGACAACTTTTATTACGGAGCTCTCATCGTGGCCAGATAAGTGTATGATGGCAGGATAACAGCTCAGCTGTGAACACTGGCCACTTGGGAGCTGTTAACAGACTGAGCCCTGTGCTGGGGACAGAGGGAGAGCAGGAGGGGGAGGACGAGCAGTCTGGGGGAGGTGATGACTCAGTCAGGAGGACTGAAGGCAGGGTGGGACACCACTCCTCTCCATTCCTGCCCAAGGACCCCCTCAGCCCCAGCTCCCCAGGGGAGGCCTTGGGTGGGGTTGGTGGAGACACCCATGCCTTTGCCGAGATTTCAACCACCACCTTATCTGTCACAACCCCCATCTCCATGTATGCCTCGATGGGTACATATTCTTTAAACCTGCTCATCACCTCCGGGGTCGTCCAGACTCACTCACCAACACCGGATCCTGCCGCCCATGCCAAGCAGAATTTGAAACTTTTCCTTTAGTACTCAAGTGAACGCCTTCTATCTTTTTCTAACTTTCTATTTTGCAATAATTTTAGATTTATAGAAGAGTTGCAGAGATAATTCAGGGAGCACCTATATATTCTTCACCTAGTTTTCCCAAATGTCAACGTCTTATGTAACCATGGTGCAACTGCCTAAACAGAGACATGAACACTGGTATAATTCCCTTAACTAAACGATAGTCTTTATTCAGATTTCACCAGTTTTTCTACTAATGTCCATTTTCTGTTCAGGAATCCCACTTGGGACCCCCATTGCCTTTAGGGTGTCTTAGATTTTGATAAAAAGGAGCCCTGATGGCACAGTGCTTAAGTGTTCTGCTAACTGAAATGTTCGTGGTTTGAACCCACCAGCTGCTCCGTGGGAGTAAGATGTGGCGGTCTGCTTCGTAAAGGCTATAGTCTTGAAAACCCTATGGGGCAGTTCTACACTGTCCTCCAGGGTCACTATGAGTTGGAATCGACTCAACGGCAAGGCGTTTGGTTTTTGGTTTTGTATTTTGATGGCTTCTTCCTCCTCATGCCCAGTATGGAGAGTCGTCTACAGTTGAATGAAATGAACCTTCGGTCATCCATCCTTTAAGTACGCTTGTCCAGTCCCATCTATCAACCTTTCCCATGATGCAAAAAGAACAGCAGTTCAACTGGGCAACCTTGTGACGCAGGTTACGATGCTTTATGAAAGCAGGTTCTGGGGACAAGGTGGTAAAAATTAAGAGACACTGACACTTCCCTGTCACTCAGAACAGTGGACACTCACTATATACTTGTTGAACTAATATACTCAAGGCAATCTCCCTCCAAAACCTACTATAATGTGCTGGCTAAGAAGAAAAGATACCCGCTTTCTGTTATTTTCTGGTGGGAAATTTAAACCAGTCTCCCGGAACTAAAAAGCCCTTTTAAAATACTTAGCCTATCTTTGGCAGTTATCTACTAAAACTGAACCCATGCATACCCTCTGGCCCAGCAATTTCACGCCTAGCTATCTTTCCAGCAGAAATGTCACCGGAAGACATGTAGGAAAGAAAGAAAAGCAGCATTCTTCCTAAGAGGCAAAAACTGAAAACCATTCAAATCCATGAAGAATCACATGGAAAAATAACTTTTGGTCTGCTTACGCCACGGAAAGCTATACAACAAGAAGAACAAATAGGCTACAGCTGCGTACAGTGATATGGGTCAACCGCACAAATATAGAGTAAAAGAAATGAGACCCTCAAGAAGTTAGAGTCACCGTATGACCCAACAATTCCACTGCCAGGTAGACACCCAAGAGACACGGAAGCAGGTACTCAAACAGATACTTATACACCAATGTTCATAGCAGCATTATTCACAATAGCCAAAAGTTGTAAACAACTCATGTCCATCAACAGATGAATGGATAAACAAAATGTGGTCTATACAAACAAAGGAATAGTGCTCAGCCATAAAGAAAAATACAGTTCAGATACGTGCTACGACTTAGATGAACCTTACAAACATTCTGCTGAGTGAAATGAGCCAGACACAAAAGGATAAATATTGTATGCTCTCACTTACATGAAATATCTACAGCAGGCAAATGCATAGACAGAAAGTAGATTAGTAGTTGTTGGGCTGAGGGAAAGGGGGAAGGGATTATTACTGCTCAGTGGGACTGAGTTGGTTCGAGGTGATGAAACAGTGTTGGAAACAAATAGTGATGATGGTTGTACAATAACGTAAATGTAATTAATGCCCCTGAATTGTACACTTAAACATAGTTAAGGTGGCAAACTTCATGCTCTATATATTTTACTATAAGGAGCCCTGGTGGCACAATGGTTAAGTGCTTGGCTTCTGACCTACTGGCTGTTTGAACCTACCCAGCAGCTCTGCTGGAGAAAAGACCTGGCGATCTGCTCCTATAAAGATTACAGCCTAGGAAACCCTATGGGGCAGTTCTACTCGGTTACATAGGGTCGCTGTGGGTCAGAATCAACTCGATGGCACACAGCAACAAGATACATTTTACTACAATAAAAAAGAGAAAGGAAAAAAGAACCGAGACTCAAGAGGGTGTGTACTACATGATTCCATTTATATAAAGCACAAAAGATGAATTGAATCTATGTTGAGAGAAGTCAGGACAGTGGACACTCTCAGGACAGTGGAAGAAGTGGCTGGAAGGGGCATGAAGGGCTTCTGGGGACTGTTTTACTTCTTGATTTGGGTACAGATTACGTGGAGGAGTCAGTATGTGAAAACTCATCAAGCTGTACACTTTCAATGTATGAATATGACACCAGAAAACCAAACCAGTTGCCGTCGAGTCAACTCCAGCTCATGGCAACCTCATCTGCTGCAGAGTAGAACTGCGCTCCACAGAGTTTTCAAGGCTGTGACCTTTTGGAAGTAGATTACCAGGTCTTTCTTCCAAGGTGCTTCTGGGTGAACTTGAACCACCAACCTTTCGGTTAGTAGCCAGGTATTTAACTGTTTGTGCCACCCAGGACTTCATAAATATGTTACTTCAGTAAAAAGTTACCCCAAAGCTCTAGTTTAGAAATGGTTCCCCTGCCAAGCCCATCCACTCCCAAAGCTGTCTGCAGAGGAGAGCTGGGCTGCATGCCTAACAGGACAAGCACAGAGAACAAGATCTGCCTATTACCATAATTACGTCTCTGGAACATGCAAAGCCCTCATTTTTCCTTCACGTCTATAATGTTGTGGGGCATGGGATGCAATTACAACCCGGAAATATGCAGCTTCGTGAGCATAAATACACTCCTCTATGTATGCCTGGGTGAAGCATGCACACTGCCCAGCATGACGACAGCGGAGGGTACGCCCCAGCTGTGAAGAGCTTCTAACCCTTTGGGCTGCCTGTCTGCACAGAGATGACAACTGTAGGGTCCAATTCCCCTACACAGTCAGTTTTCTAGGACAGAGCCCCTGTGAAGGCCTCTTTACCCGAAGAATCTTGTCTTTGTCCTTGTTCCTGAAAGATAAGCTCTAAAACGTGGAATTCTCCCAGTGACTAAAGTGACTTTGATGAGGCCCGAGACCACACCTGAGAGTTTATGCTAATAAAGTGTCTCTTGGGTGGGAGCTGGCCAGGCCAGACAGACCACCTTCTGATTTCAGCCAACCTCAGGGGAGGGGGAATACGTCTTTTAATCATGCCTACCTAATGAGGCCCCAGTAGAGGCTCTGGACATGAAAGCTCCATGAGCTTCCTGGTTGGTTATAGACATCAGTGCACATGGGAGGGTCCTTTGGGACATGGAAGCTCCGAGTAGTTGGGAACCTTCCTAGACCTCACTCTATGCACCTCTTCATTTGTATCCTTTTTCCTATAATAAAACTGTAATAATAAGTATAGTGCTTTCTGTGAGTTCTGGCAAATTATCAACCTGGAGGGAGCAATGGGAGCCAGCAGATCAGAATTGAGGGGTGCCCTGGGAACCCCTGAGTTTGCAGCTGGTATCCTGAAGAAGTAGTGGGAGAACACCTCATTTGTAGCCAGCAGGTCACAAGTGAGGGCATCATGGGGACCCTCCAGCTTGTAGTTGGCGTCTGAGGTCTTGGGCAGACTTGGCTGTCTGGAGGGCCGTGTCCTTTAACTGTGGGTGCTGACCTGGCCCTGGGTGGTTGGGGTCAGAGGAAGAAGTGCTGCGTGTGCAGCTGGTGTCACAATAGAAGTGGAACAGAGGGGAGCAGAACTGAAATTGGCAATTGATCTTCACAGTCTGGTGTCAGAGAAGTGGGTCTTGATTGTCCCACACAGCTCCCAATTTACACATTGCCTGAAGAAGCACAGGGTAAGAACTTAAACAAGTTCTTCTCGTTGTTGTTGTTTGTAACACCAAAAAGGAAAAACTTTTGGGAAGATTTTTTTTCCCCTCATTTTCTCACATGAAATTAAACCTCTTTGGTGACAATCATTCAAGAGACGCTGGGAGCAGATGAAATGGCACGAATGTGAAATGGGGCGGTCATCTTTTCTGGGTAGCGCCGACAGAAACGTCAGGCACAAACCAGGGCAGGACGTGGGCTGGAGGAAATGTGATTTCGTGCAATTCTCTTGGGTGAATCACACGAAAAGAGCCCTGGTGCCGCTCGGCTGCTAACCGAAAGGTCTGCGGTTCGAATCCACCAGCGGCT